TGAGGAAAAGTTATTGAAAAAAAAAAAGGTCTCCTGCCCCTTTAAGGGTGGCCATTTTGAACTCTGTTGTTTTCCGCAGCACATCTCCGACTGCCTCGTGGTACACTGGTGTGCTCTGCCCCAGGCGTCCCCAAGTCAGCCGCTGCGGAAACTGACCAGCGCTGACTACAGGAAGCCCGAGGCAGAGTTGCTCTGCCCCGGCTTCCTGGAATCAGCCGCTGATCAGTTTCAGCAGCAGCTGAATCTGGATGCCACTTCCGACTTACATACAGATTCAACTTAAGAACAAACCACAGTTCCTATCTTGTACGTAACCCAGGGACTGCCTGTAATCAAAATTTAACACCCCTACTCTTAATTAACTGCTTTAATGGAAAAAAGACAAATCCTAATAAAAAAAGATGAAAACAAGAGTTAAACTTGCAAGGTTCTGAGTAATAACATTTTCCACTGATCTTTCATTGTTTAAAGGAAACTAATGCAAGTGTAAATGCAGAATGTATTCCCATAAATCAATAAACCAACAATTAATTTCCAGCTTTGGCTTATAAATAAAAATATTCCCACAAAGACTAAACGAGTTCAAAATTCTCTGTCCCCTAACAGCAGATGGATGCAGATATTCTTTTTTTATTTAGACTGGTAGTATTTAATGACATAAAATAATATGTTATAAGGATCAGAGATCATTTTGTTTCCTAGCGTAATTATACTTATTTTTTATTTCATTTTTAGGAAGGATCCTCATGGGTTTTTTGCTTTTCCAGTCACAGATGCCATTGCTCCTGGATATTCCATGATAATAAAACATCCCATGGATTTTGGCACCATGAAGGACAAAATAGCAGCAAATGAGTACAAGTCAGTCACCGAATTCAAGGTGAATTGATAAAGATTTGGTTATTTCAGAACATTTAGCTGAAAACTTTAATTTGGGTCACTTGTAAATAATGCATCACGCTTCTATATTCAGTTGGTAAGAGTGGGATTATATTGTATACTCAGTATATATCTGTTCTGCTGTCCTAGGGCAAATCCTAAAATGATCATAGAACAATATGTACTACTGATAAGCTTACTCTGCTGTTCTATGCAATTCAGTGCATGAAAATAATACTCAGATTAGTAGTTCTAGAAGGACTTGTTATTTTAGAAAACTCTAGATGATTTGTTAATTCTAGATTAATTTATTAGTGACCAAAAGGTGATTGTGCCCTTTGGAGGCACTCTGGGTTATATTAAATGATAGATGCTTTATAACATAAATGAAATAAAATGAGCTAGCTATATGTGGAAATTTCAGCTCCGCTTTAATTGGAGAGTTCCTGTTACCATCTCCAATAGAAGTGCTGTGTCAGTGCAGCAGGGTTGTTGTAGCATATCTGGGAAGACACTCTGCGCCAATAAGAGAGTGCTCTCCCGTCAACATGATTACCCCACCTCTGCAAGAGACAGAGCCTATGTTGGAGGGAGAGTTTCTTGTGAATATATTGCTAAGGTGGAAAGTGCTTAGGATGCTGTAACTTGCATTGCTCAGGGATGTGTAGACCTCTCCTCCAATTAAAAAAATAATTTCAATTTCAGTTTGTATTAGCTTTTTGTAGCATTAGTCTTACATTCTTTGATTATTGCCTTTTCCAAGTAATTTACAGTTTGAAATTGCTGATTAGCATTGGACCAGTTTCTTGGTTATTGTTGGCCTGTGTTAGGGGATTTGAAGAAAGGACCTGTTTCAGACCCATTGAGTGTATTTTGGTTCCAGTTACCAGGAACTATGCTGGTGATATTGGTTGCTCTGCTGGTAATGGATGAAAACAAGGTATTCATGATGATTCTTTAAGATCCATCAGCTTCCTTGATTATTCTTATTCATAAGGTGGTATTGATGCATCTTTAGAACTTAACAGAAGTTGGCAGTATTGCTATTGCGTGTTTTTGTTCCTTTCTAGGGCTGTAAGCAACTAGTCGACTACCTGATAAGCATATGCTTATTGAGTAGTTGAGCAGTCACTTGACTAGTCGCTTCACACACTCCCCCTCGCCCCCTCCCCACACACACTCTTGTTGCCTCTGTCAGAGAGAGGCAGCAAGGTGGGGAGCAGGAGTCAGTGCTGGGGAGAGCCAGCTTAAAAGCCAGGTCCCCCTAGCACTGTCTTCTTGGGGAGGCGAGGGAGGCAGAGGCACAGCGTTTGGGGCCGGGAGCTAACTCTGCTGTGGCTCTGCAGTTTCCCCCGTTAGGTATTCGATTAGCTGATAAATTTTGTTTAAACATCCCTATTCCTTTCTATGAGAGGTCCTACAGGGTGGTATTGGGCAATCTACTTGTCTTTGCAAAAGTGCTCTCTTTTAGGGTTAAAAGTCTGAGAGGGATCACTATGTTAATCTGTAACTTTAAAAACAGGATCAGTATGTTAATCTGTAACTTTAAAAACAACATTTTAAAAAATGAGTAGACCTATGATACCTTAGAGACTAAGAAAAAATATATATTAGGGATGTTAAGTAGCATTTAACTAGCTAATCGACTACTCAGTTAGTCAATAGGGGAGGAGGATGCTTGCTATCCCCACTGTGGCATCTACAGTGTAAATGTAGTAGGAGCTGGGCTCTTACTACATCTAAAAAGCAGAGGCACAGCAGTGGCTTGCACTGGGTCATCTGCTGCAGCTCTGCCTTTTAAATGTAGTAAGAGCCAGGCAGCCTGGTTTGTGCTGGGTCCCCCGCTGCAGCTCTGCCTTTTAATTGTAGTAAGAGCCAGGTGCACAAGTGTCTCATTTCCTGTACTTAACAGAGTTCATATCCTTTTCTTTCAGATCTGGCTTTCATTATTGTGGTTCGTACTTAATCATTTCAGGGTTGGCGTCTTGAAGTACATTCTATATCTTTATGAGCAGGGTTTGACAAACGGCGGCGAAAACCACTCGCCAGCCCCGCATTGTGCATGCGCGCGCCGCGAATGAACGGGCCGCACGGCTGAAATCTACTCACCATGGGCGAGTAGATTGTATAATTTGTCGAGCCCTGTTTATGGGCATAGTCCCACATGGCAATCGTAGTGGGTGCAAAAGGTGATAGTTTTCTTATTAAGTGTACAAAAAGCACCTTACACAGGTAGTCCATGAGAAGCCTAGTTCGTATTTGATTTTGAGATTAAGTTTGAGCTGTGGTATTTTACCTATATAACCATAAATGGTTGTTCTAGTTCTGTTTACAGGAGTGAACTCTCACTGCTGCCATACTAGTTATGATTATCTGAGGTACTTGACTCGCTTCCATATTTATGTATACGAGAAGAGTCGTTCAGAAACATACGTTTCAACTAAGGAAAGAGAATCAGTGAGGGGAGCCTGCTATAGCTTTGCTGCCAAGGAGTGGAGCTTATTTCAAGGGCAGTAGCTTAGGAAAACACTTTTGTCCTCCTCTCCATATAGCTCTTAAGAAATAGTCACATCACATGTATCCAAACCTCCCTACCTTGTTTGCTCCTTCATTTTATGTGCCCTTGTTTGCCGTCCTCCATTTCTGTTCCTCAGATTATCTCTTCAAATTTAAAAGGCTAGAGGCAAATCCTTTAACCCAGGGGTTCTCAAACTTTGTGATATCGTGACCCCCCTCCCAAGTTGCTGCAACCCCCCTCCAAGTTGCTCGTGACTCCCAGGTGATTGGGACCCACAGTTTGAGAAATGCGGCTTTAACCACAAATATTCACCGCAATTATGTGGCCCTTCTGCTTCTTTAGCATTGTATTGATGGCTTCTGCCCTAGGTATCAAGCACTTTCCTAATCCCTGCTATGAACCAAGAAATGTGATGGCTTCTGCCCTAGGTATCAGAGCAGCACTTTCCTAATCCCTGCTATGAACCAAGAAATTAAGAAAAAGATTTGTTCTAATTCTAAAAAGTTTCTTTATTGGTTAGGAGTTTGGATCCAGATTTTCAAAGGTCTTTAGGCACTTAAAAGATGCAGTTAGGCATCTAGTAGGATTTTTTAAAAAACATCTAAGTGTGTAAATCCAATGATGGGCATCTAGGAGCGTTTTAAAATCCCGCTAAACCCCAATCTGCATTTTTAAGTACCTAAACACCTTTGAAAATCTGGTCCTGAATCTGCATACTGAAAAGGAGCTTTTTTTTTTCTCTTCCAGAAAGGCACATTTCCTGAATCTGTATACTGAAAAGGAGCTTTTTTTTTCTCTTCCAGAAAGGCACATTTCCTGCACAAAAGTGCATATACAGAATATGTTCATGCATAAATGACTAAGAAATTTTGATTTGTGTGTAGTTACCTAATTTGTTCAGAGAATAATTTCCAATCGAATTGTTTGTACATACCCTTTAAATATTTAAAGTGTTAGTGGAAGTTACTTTGGCAACCAGATTTATGCAGAGAATAATTTCCAATCAAATTGTTTGTACATACCCTTTAAGTATTTAAAGTGTTAGTGGAAGTTACTTTGGCAACCAGTATTCTCAAGCTAGCACTTATTAAAAATGCCCTGGTCTAATTTAATGAAGGCCAAGGGACAGTGTTCGCTTTGATTCTTGCATTACATTCTGCTGAAACTTTCATATTCATTTACAGCCCACAGAAGAATTTTTAAAATAATTCATGGATCTCATGGAAAACTTTCCATTGAGTTATTGTGAATAGTGTTATCTTTTAATGTGCATGGAAAGGAATTGCACATTTAAAAGGCTTCTCTGATTTACATCACACTGTAGCTCTGTCACTGATGCTTGTAGAGATGTCCAGCTATAAGGAATACAGGCAGTCCCCGGGTTACGTACAAGATAGGGACTGTAGGTTTGTTCTTAAGTTGAATTTGTATGTAAGTAGGAACTGGTACATATTGTAGGGGAAACTCTAGCCAAACATTTCTCCAGAGCTCAGTTTTATTCTCCCACACCTCACTTCCCTCAGTCCTGTATTCTCAAGCTGAGGTGTCTGCTGAGAAAAGCCGCTCCGCATCTCCCTGGTCTGCTCGGGGGGGGGCTAGCTTCGCGTCTCCCTGGTCTGCTTGGGGGAAGCAGCTAGTGCGGGGTTGCCTCACCCCGTTTGTAAGTAGGGATCCGATGTAAGTCGGATCCATGTAACCCGGGAACTGCCTGTAGCAGATTTTAAAAGTGACGTGGAAAGCAAAAGAAGAAATATGGGTGTGCCTTTTCTTTTTTGTGTTTATGTTTAAAGGACTTCTGATAGTTAGCTTCAAAAATGCTTTTACTTTGGCAATTCTTTTGTGCTCTATTTCCTTTGAAAGACACCACAGAACTGGAATAGTAACATCAGAGATGTCATGCAATTAAACCAGAGAGAAGTGATTTTTATTCAGGCTGTTCTAAAATTCCTTGCTTTAATTGTTTTAATTTAAATTGGAATAAATGATTGAGAGGGGAATAATATCTTAACGATTCAGTGTGACCCCCAAAACCTTTAGTTAAGGTTGAGGGCACACAAAACATGTCCGTAACTGCTCCCTCCTCCTAGTAAGCTCTCCTGCAAAATCAAGAAAAGCTAAACTTTATATTTCAGCTTACTTCTGAGCTTAAAAAACTAACAAAGAAAAAGCTGTGTGTGCATAAAATAAAAGGTAACCTTTCGGGACTTCACTTCATAAGAAAGTAAAAAATGCAACCCTTTGCAAATCATTTTTAAATTTTTGACTCTTATTCACTTGTGTCCGTGGACACTTCATGGTGTTCTCAAAATGTCTTTACATTGAAGGCTTCTTAATGTGGCTGTCTCCACAGGATGTTATCTGGAGCTCTTTTATGTTCAGTTTTTGGAAGGGTTATGAAGTTTTAGCAACTCTTATGTTTTGTATTTTTCAGGCAGATTTTAAACTGATGTGTGATAATGCAATGACGTACAACAGACCAGATACTGTGTACTACAAGCTAGCCAAGAAGATACTCCACACAGGCTTTAAGATGATGAGCAAAGTAAGAGATCTATTAAAAACAAAAAGCAGAAAAGATTTGTAGAAAGGACTATAATCAGTCATAGTGATAAACATTATATCATCCATCTATCATTAATTATAGCAGTGCCCACCCACGCTGTTTTATGTAGGTGCTTGTTGGCATTTCCATTATAAATCCTCTTTCTTTTAGGTCCCGATTATGCTTTCCCACTAACAGGGCCTAACTATATAACCCAACTATAAAATTTGTTTCAGGCTGAAACTGTTACTGCAAGATCTCACGCTAGAAACAAACTCCATTTATCGTGTTTAAATGAGCTGAGCTCTTTTAAAAAGCTTTATGGCTGTAAAAAGATAGTGGATTTGAGGGATTTTCCCCATGTCTATTACTCTAAAATATGGAGTTAATGTGGAGTAGTATTTATAGGTTAACTTGTGTGTGTGTGTGTTGCAATACACTTATGGTAAGTCTATAAGAAAAATAGACAACTGTAACTGCATGCATGTTTCTTGTTTCTTGATAGTCAGGTTGCAGAAATTCTGGTGCCATGCTACCATGACCAAATCATGTTGCATCACCATTGGAAATAAGACAGTAAGAGCAAAATAGGGCCATGGCCATTCCCATCCCATCCCATTATCATAGCATCTTGGCTATGAGGGAAAGGTAAAGTCCCTGCCGCTCTGTCCTTTCTGATTCTAGGAACGGCTGTTAGCTTTGAAGCGCAGCATGTCGTTTATGCAGGACATGGATTTTTCTCAGCAGGCAGCTCTTTTGGGTGATGAAGACACAGCTGTTGAGGAACCTGTTCCTGAAGTCGTTCCCGTACAAGTAGAGACTGCCAAGAAATCCAAAAAGCCAAGTAAAGAAGTTATTAGGTAAAGGTCTTAATGGATACTGCTTTGTAGCAGCTCTTGTTCTCTCGATCAGTGCGGCAGACCAGCAGGGGGTAAGGAGTAGGAAGCAACTTGTTGCAGTTTTGCGTTTTATGTTTTAAGTAATACAATTTATCATGAAATTTGACCATGCAGTAGTTTCACAGCTTGATGGTTCCAAATCCATAACAAGCCACATTGCTTCTAAGGATGAATATACCTCCCTCTACAAACTGTGCTTTAAAAATGCGATCCGAATGTACTTTGATGGTGCCTTAAAGCCTCTTTCATCTCCAAGAGTCTGTCACTTTTTATCATCATATTTCCCAAAAGTTCTTGAAGTTGCAGAATAATTCTTTTAAGTGATATTAAACTTATTGAGAAATTATGAACTTCATGTTTTAAAGGATGACTATCTTTACACTAAAGTAATGAAAAAAGTTGCAAAAAAATCAAGTTCAAAATAAGTAAATAATACATTTTTTGTAAGTGAAGGTTTGTGGGTCAGGATACAAATCCTTTAAATATGTTTTCCCCTTTTCCCTTCTTGTTTATAAGGGTTTTTTTTTTTATTGAAAAGAAAAATCTGATTGATTATAAACGGGAAACAACTGGCAATTTTGTCAATTGAACAAAATAAACACACTGAAAAAATAGCGAAATTTTTGCAAATATATTTAATGTAAGGTAATTTTACTTATTGTCAGGGCTCAACAAATTATGCAAAACCCTACTCACCAGACCAAAAAGGGACTCGCCACCAGAGAACGGGACAACCGGGACGGCATGTTTGTTTACATCAGTTATCATGGCCGCGGTTATCGTTGTTTGTCATTCTTTGACGTTTTGATGCGGTCTCAAAAATTTCAGTGAAAGTTACAACAATATTTTCATAGGCATGCGCAGTACATTTCATTAGGGTGTGCACCCAAAGAATTTTTTAAAAATGTACTCTTTGACCCCCCATTAGCCATACCCCTGACCCCCATTAGACACACCCCCTGACTCCCATTAGCCACGCCTCTGGTGGTAACACTCTTGGGGCAAGATGGACACATGACCAGAAGTAAAAGGTATAATGTGACCCCCCTCTAAGGACTTTTCCCACCATCCTCCTACCAATAGGGATTAGTTAGGGCCCCACCAAACCCCCCTCATGCAACTATCCTGCAATTGCATTAACCCACTGTGTGTGACATTAACTCGGGGGCGGAGAGGCTGGGGGAAGTGTTCCCTCTAAGAGTTTCCTCCCATGAGCAGAATGAATTTTGTGTTGTGCACCAGTACTGAGCTTATGTGGCTTGTTTGGATGTGCTACTGTGGCACCCAAGTTATTAATAAATATCTTAAAAACCTCTGCCTTTTCCCTCTGCTGCCATGTCTCCTCCCCTTGCTCCATCAGCTCACCTGGTGCCTGCTGCCCCCCAACACCTCACCCTCCTCTGCTGTCCTGCCCCCCTGTGCCCACTCCTCCAGTAGCCCCACTCTGATCATGTGAGCTACCCCTCCTCATCCCCTCTCCTAACACCTCCCTCTACACACCTGCCCTGCCTCTCTCCTCTCGTGCTGGTCCCTCCCCTGCAGGTGTCTGCCCTTCTTCTTCACCCCCAGAATCCCTTAGCACCTGCATCCTCCTGGTACCGTCCCCTTTGCTCTCTTTTTCCCTGATACCCACCCCCCCACCACCTTCTGCCCCCATTCTCCTCAAGGAAAGAATCACAAGGTTTCTCGGGGGCTAACTTTATATGGTTATTTCAGTGGGGTCCAAATTAGAGCAGCACCGAGAGTACTCTGAGAAACAAACTAGGCTCTGTGTGGCCCCAGAAGTCTTACTGTTGCCCTCACTTTCCTCTTATCCCTCCCGCTCAGCACAAGCCCCTTCTCCCTATTTTTTTCCCTTTCCTTCCCCTCCTCTACCTGGCTTCTGCCTTCCAGTTTGTGGGGCTGCCAGAGCCTTTTTTAATCCGGCGGTCGCCAACTGTGATGTCACGATGCCATGTCACGCAAGCATCCTGGTGTCTGCCAGCATCCCGCCCCCTGGCTCGCGCGCTGTCTCCTTGCGCTGGAGCTGCACACAGGCAGCCCGGCGCCGAGAATCACCGAACTTCCCCCTCTCCGGCGGCATTCCACTCCTCCACCCAGCTGGCAGATCAGATGGGGCCACGCCACCCGTAGTGCAGGCTTCGGCCAGCCCATCACAACAGCCCACTGGGCCAGTCCGCCCCTGCACTTGCCAGCTGGTAAAATCTACTCGCCGCGGACGAGCGTATTTGTCGAGCCCTGCTTATTGTAATTATTTCATTTTCTACTGTAGTGTGAAAGAGTTTTAAAATAATGTAAGTGCTAGTGCTTTCATTCATAAAACTTTTATTTTTCTTGGGTGGAATTGAGAATAAACTGGAAGTTGGATTCTTTTAATGGGAATACAGGCTCAACACGATTTATATACAAAATAAGGAGGAGCACCTTCATTTAGATTTGTACAATAGGGCCACAGTTCTGATTTTTACAGGCCCATTACCGTAGTATCTGAATACTTCACAGTCTTAAGTGTATCTGTCCTCAAAACACCAGTGTGGCAGAACAGGGTATTGAGCCTCCCGAGTCTCAGGCTAATGCTAATCCTCTTGGTGCTCTACCATAGTATAAATTCAAATAACTGTGACTTATTGGTCTCTAATTCCATTTAGCTGGTCAGATTTTGAGGTGCTCTCAGTATAATTTGTAACTTCTCCTGGTCCCCTCAGTGTTTCTGTAACTCCCTTGGAATTACTTAGATTCACACCCATTTACCAACTTGCATTTTGTACAACAGGAAGGGCTTGATCATGAATCATTATAGTTAGGAGTTCTTTTGCAGTGGGAGCCAAACCAGAGCCTAATGGTATATGTTTGTTCAGACATCACTTGTGATAAAAAAGGAGACAGGAAATCCTTTAGGATTTCTTTCAGTAGTATGCTGTGAGGTAAAATTTTCAAATAAGTTGTAAATGACTTCGATGATTGTTCCATTTTAAAAAATAACTTCGGCATTTAGCCCGATTTGCTTTTGAAAATGACACCCTTGGTCTTTATCTCTTACTGGTCAAGTTTCCTGAAACAGAAGTGTAAAAATTTGACTCTTGTTCAATGTTAAATGTGTCAGCGAGTCCTAAGCTTTTAATGATTTTAATCTGTTAGTTAATGGGAATGAATAAGGCAGTAATGGATATTTCCCTCAAAATAATACGAACCTATGACCTTTTGTATTTTTCTATAAATGTTATTTTTGCAGTATTTGCCATTTTACACATCACATCTGAATTTGGGCCACTAGGCTTAAGGCAGTGCTGCTAATGAGATGCTCCAGTTTTACTTAATGCGTCTGCAGTCTGAGCCTCACAGCTCCCCGTGGCTATGATTTGCTGTTTGCAGCCAAGGGGAGCCACGGGAACCAGCGTTCTGGGCCATGCAACTTCCTGCGGCTCTCTTTGGCTATAAACGGCAAACTGTGGCCCATGGAAGCCACAAGGCTCCATGGCTGCAGAGCTACTAAGCAAACAAACCAGAACGACCTGTTAACAGCTGCTGCCTATTTTGAGAAACACTGACCTAAGGGATTCTGTATTAATATAATTTGCATGCTGAGCGATTGGAAGGATCACAGAATGGAAAACAGATTGGTGCAAGTAGACTGAAAGCATTATTAGTATAAGGAAAGCTAAATTATGCACCACTTTACCCAGCACCTCAGACCTTGCTCATGGTGCCTCATGACCTTCTAATTCTTAAGGCTTCTTCTAAGTTTTTTTTGGAATAACAGCTGTTATTCCGAAATAATCATAAGAGCATCTACACAGCAATTGCATTATTTTGAAATAAATTTGAAATAACCAGCAGCTTATTCTGACTTCTGTAAACCTCATTCTACAAAGAATAACTCTTATTCCAAAATAGCTATTTTACAATAAGGTGTGTATAAACTCTCCACTTCTGCTATTTCGAAATAGTCCCTCACCAAGGCCATTCTAAGTTATTCCTCCTGGCACTCTAAATTGAGATAGCACATCTACATTGGGGAAGCCTGCCTCAGACTAATTTTGAGGCTTCCTTGTAGTGTAGATGTTCTATTTTGAAATAAGCTATTTCTCAAAAACTATTCCGGAATAGCTTATTCCAAAATAACTGTGCAGTATAGACATAGCCTTAGACTGAACATTATTTTTTTAAATTTATATAATACAGAGATGGCACATTCCATCAGTATCGTCACATCTTCCTCCAACATTCCCTTTTTTGCACTTATACGTGCAATAGTTCAAACAGTATATCCCACTCCTTTAATGCATGATTTGTGGTTTTTCCAATTGTATTTAGCCACTTGTAGCTAGCTGTTTTAGTTAAAAGGATTCAACTGAAAGGTAAATATTAAAATTCACACTTGCCATCAGAAACCAGAGTTTGTGATGGATGTTGACCAATATGATCTTGTTACTAACATTAGATGTTTCAATTGTTTGTAATAATACAGAAATGACTAAAATCATGAAGGAAATTTTTTGTTTACTCCGTTGTTTATTTAAATTGAAGTTATGGTAGGACTTTATTCACATGCAAGAATTAAACATATATACAAATTAACACTATGAAGAAGATTGGTGTTTTAAAATGTGTATACTACTTAGCTAGCAGTCACAAAACTCAGTTTGCTATTATTTTGAAAACACATTTGGTTCCATTTTTGTTTCAACAATTTGACTTTGTTTTAGTTGCATATTTGAACCCGAAGGAAATGCATGCAGTCTGACAGACAGCACTGCTGAAGAACATGTCCTAGCCTTGGTGGAGCATGCAGCAGATGAAGCTCGAGACAGGATCAGCAGATATCTACCAAACAGCAAGGTCTACAACATGGTCAAGTCTACCATTTTATATAGTGTCTGACTTGTAAATATTTGTCATGTCACAGGAAGTAGGTTCTATGGCTATTACTTACATTTCTGAAGAGTCAGAAATGGCAGGTGAAATTCATCTTTTATGGAAGGCCAGCAAAAGGACTGCATATTGCTTAGGTCCCATTTAAGCCATTTAGTGAGGGATGAAGTAAGTGACTCTTACATAGTGTGTAGGGTTCGTGTCAGATGTCAGCAGAATTTCACTTGGAGAAAATGATCAGGTGTTTAGGTTACATCTAGGTTAACTGCATTGGATTTCTTATCATTAGAGATGACTATAACAAAGTGGCAGGATTCTCTTTTTGTCTACCACATTAATAGGTAGCTGGAAGTAAGCCTTAGAATGTATGTGAGGGTTCTTAGGAATTATTTCTGCTTTACTCTGTTATCAGCATGTTTTTGTGTCCCTGCAAATCCTATTTATCAGTCATCTTCCTGATCATAGCTTGTCTTAGATGTGTAGGCACAAGTAGTCATGATCCTGTGAATTTATTTTTTCCTAAGGGCTTGATACAGTACTAATTGAAGTTTGCTGTTTCCTTTAAACAAAAGAGAACTGAAGTCCTAAATTTAATCTCAAAGACAGAAGGATTAACTAGTTCATCTCATTCCTGTGATTCTGTAGAAATTGGGTTAAGGGAGTGCTAAGGGTGCAGGAAGGTATAATGTCCCGGAAACAAGATGGAGCAAGTGTTGAAAAGATTTGAGAATAAGCAGTTCATAATGCATTTTGAAATGGACATAATCAAGGATGGCCACAGTAGTCTCATGTGCTGGAACATTTCACACCTTGGGTAAAATCCTGGCTCCTGTGGAATCATTAGTAAAACTCCCATTGGCTTCAGTGGGGCCAGGATTTCACTTTTATACTTCAAAGAGCAAGGATTTAGAAGGCTCATAAAGGAGGGAGTTGCATACTTGTGCTGACTATTAAAAATTCTTGTCAGAAAAGGGGACAAATCAGACCTGAGGACCAGAGTTAATATGGGGTTTCTTCCTGGGGGAGCAAGTTTAGGTCTGAATTAGGAAGGATGGTAATGAGTCAGATAAGGGACAAAGAAACATTTGTTCCAAAGGATGTCTTCAATCTTGGCATTAATTAGAAGGAAGTAACTACAGCCAGGATCCTACATTCATTTTTACTGAAAAAGGACTAGAAAAGAGCAGTATAAGCTAGGCCAAGTTCAACTAGGACATTTTTTCAAAGAAGCCCGTGTAAATTAAAATACATTGTTTCAATTTTGGATTGTTTTGAGCTATAACAGTGAATATAAGGGCCATTCCTTTATCCATAAACTTCTATTTACAGATGGGGTATCTGAAAAAGAATGGAGATGGATCTTTATTATTCAGTGTGGTCAATTCATCAGATCCAGAAGCAGAAGGTAAATGTTTTGTTCTTTTAAACCATGTATTTCTAATGGTAACTATGGTGTAAAAAGATAGCTGGCCCCTCAAATGAAATGTGGCTCAGTTTCAGTCCAGATGCACCCTCGTTTGTTCTAATGAGAAGTGAGCGACTGCCTCTGGAAGTTTTAAATGAGACGCAGCCCAGAGGCAGGGGAGAGTTCAGAATCCAGGGCCCAGAAAGGGGGAGAAAGCCAGAGTCCAGAGACCGCTCAGAAGAAGAGCAGAGCTGGGTTGAGAGCTTCAAGAAGAGGAAACCCCAGATAGAGGGAGCTGTGAGAGTTTGCTGGTGAGCAGCAGAGCCAGATCAAGCTGCTGGTGAAAGTAGGAGGCAGGAAGGCAGTTAAGAGGTAGGAAAAGTCACCTGCTAACTTTCCCTAGATAGAGAGCTGTGGCCAAAGAGAGATGAAGGCTGAGAGCAGCACAGGGAGATACCTCCTGGCTCTCTGATCTAAAGAAGGCTGATGGCTGGGTAAGAGATGAGCCTGCTGATGTCTCCATGCAAGAGTTGGAACCATACGTGGGAGAGAAACAGGGCAGTGAAGCACTATAGCTAAGAGGGGCTGAGGCGAGCCTCGGTGGGATGCTGGAATTATACCTGACTGGTGAGGCGTGGAGAAAGATGCTGGAGCTATACCTGTGGGGTACGATGTGGTGAGAAATGCTAAAACTTTACTTGGTGTTAATGGACTGCTGGGATTTGAAAGAGTGAATGAATTGTATGGACTGTGCTGGGGAAATCTGGATTGGGGACCGTCTATATAGTAAATTAACCCTCAAAGGACCATAATCTGAAAGCATTTGTGGAGTTGCTTAGGACTCTAGGAGAAAGGGGATATTGAGGCAGGCACACAGGAGGATGCCCTGTGGAATACTGGAAAAGAGAATCTGAGGGGAAAAAATGGCTTGCAGGGTCATCCTGAGAGGCTGCAAAGGGATGTTGTGGAGACAGCCACCCTTTGACATTTATAACAAACACTGAAAGTCAAGTGAGAATGTCAGAAAATGGGTCTGCACTTTAAATTGTATTGGCATAGCTATGTTGATTATTGTGTGATTTAGTTAATCTACCTGTGTGCAGTTGCTTATCGTTTGGAGGTTTATAAACTCTAATTTTGACAATGTTATTTTATGTCTTTGCAACACTATCAAAGAGAATCCATTGTCCGGCTGTGCCGGAAGGACAGATGTCACTGGATGTGGTTTAATTAGACTGTAGCTTTATTCCTTAGTATTTTGGGGTATCCTGCAGATAGAATTGTGCAATGCAGGTCATTCCATAATCATTTACATATAACCAGACAGCTGCTGGCAGCACTCCCTTCTATTGGTCCTGGTCCTCAGCAAACCCACTGCTGGGACTTGACCGCCACTTTCCAGAATAATCATGGGAGAGCTATAAAGTAGTGGGGGTTCCTGTCATATTAGTAATTGGAGCCCTGAACTTTCCTCAACCCCTCTTTTCTACTCTTTCTTTTTTAGAATACCTCCTTTTAAATCTTTCCCACTTCATAATATCTCATGTTCATACCCTGTGGAGTACCTGCACTGGACGTCTGCCTGAAGCTTACTTAATGAGTTGCAACATCATTGGCGGCCCTTCATTTTTTGCCCACTAAGCCCCCAGCCTGCTTTAGAGAAGGTGAAAAAACCCACCTCACCTTGGTCAATCTGGGAGTGAGGCAGCATTTCTTTCCCAGCTCCTTCCTTGCCCCTCTTTGAAAAAGGAGTGACTAGCATAAATGCCCTGAGAGGATCATAATGAAACCTGGTATTTTAACTACTATTGAGGACAAAGAGATGGGTACTGCTTATCCTGGACCAGATAATAGAGGGCTTTTACTGCACTGGCATAGGCATAAATACCTACCCCATCATCTGCAAGTGAGTGTAAGAGATGGGGTAGGGGGCTTAGAGTACCCATGTTGACATTGTATGGAGCTGTGTTAGCTGGTAACTCTACAGGTTGGACCTCTGTGGTCCGGCACCCTTGGGACCTGACTGGTCCCGAACAAGGGAATTTGTCGGAGCAGGGGAGGTTCCTTGACATTGGCCTCCCAGGCACTTGCCAGCTCTGCTTTCTTGGCCCAGCCAGCCCCCTTTGCCCTCAGCCAGCTGTGCTGCCAGCCCTGACTGGCCCTCTCAGCCCTGGGACTCTCAGCTGAGCCCCCTGCTGCAGGTCTGCAGCCGCATTGCGGGATTCTGTACTGTCTGAGCCCCTGCCGCACTCCTGGCTGTACTGCCAGTTGCTCGTACAGAGCTGCTTCCTGTAGCAATGTGCTACTGATAGAAGCCTAAGTTCTCCCTAAGAAGCACATTGCTACAGAAAGCAGATCTGTACAAACCACCGGAGCTCCCCATGCTGCCTGAGCTCTGTGCTGTGGGAATCCCTGCACTGACTGAGCCCCTCGCGCAGGACTTCTGGCTGCACCACCGGCGCTCCCCGCTCTGGTGGACCCCCTGCCACGGGACTCCCGGCTGCATCACAGGATTCCCTGCACTGCCTGAGCCCTCTGACGCTGTGCTCCTTGTGTTGCTTGAGACCCCCTTCCCCTGGGCTCTCTGGTCCAGGAATATCCACGGTCCCGCCAGACAGTGGATGTTGCCAAACCAGAGAGTCCCAGTTTAGGGAGGTACAACCTGTAGTAAATCTCTAGCCATTAGAAGGGCAGCACATCTCCTATAAGTCAGACAAAGCCCCCACATCCTCTCTCAATGTTCAGTGAAATCATTGTAAGTATAATATGTTTTTCATTTCATTAAGTATAGAAACAGGACACATTCAAAATCACTTATGCTGTCTATCTTAATTAAAACATTTTATGGAACTTGAGCGTAGAGTCTCCATAATCACAATTATAAATTTGCACATTAATTTAGCATTCTTATTTTTTCATTGTAGCCTTTGTCTCTGTAAACATTGCTGTTTATATGATTCTTTCTACAGGCTGGGTTTTTTTGGGAGGGGGGGAGGGATTGTTTGTTTTTTAAGCATAAAAAAAATTAAGCATTATTTAAGATATTGCTGTTTTTGCTCTTGTGACAAGAGGAAATGTTAAGATGATACTGTGCACTAAAAAAAAAACCCAAGCTTTTGGTTGAATCCTTGAAATTTAGCTATGTGTAATTGAATGTGTTTGGAAAATTAGAACAAGAACTTGGATTGTTGTGGTTGTACTTCTTGCATTACATTTTATTTTTATTTAGTTTTATGGCATCTTCCATCAGTATGACGAGTATCCAAATACTCTTTAAGATTAAATAATCTTGATTCCATAATCAGGAATATATAAAATGTATAGTAGGATAGTTTGAAAAGATCGCTAAACGTATAATATGAATATTTTATTTAATCAAATTATTATAGAGGAAGAAACTCACCCAGTGGATCTGAGTTCTTTGTCAAGCAAATTGTTACCTGGCTTCACTACACTGGGCTTTAAAGATGAACGAAGAAACAAAGGTAAATGTGTAAGAAGAAAATAGCTTAATTAGAAGACAAGTGCTTGATCGAATATAGAATGCAAATAATTCCAAGTTATTCCAGTCTCCAAATTGCTAGTACGTTCAACTGTTGTTAATAATTATAGTATTTGCATTTGCAACGGAATGCAAATGTTAATTATCAAAACAAAAAGCAGAGAATGGAAATAGCAGTATTACAATGCTATATTGATTTAATTATTGTTCAGTTGAATTTGTAGTAGAATTTTTTTTTTTCTAAAGCTAAGATTTGGATGCTTTCTTGGAGATAAAAAATTATTTCTTCTTAAAGTAGAGTCCCTATGGCTGCTGCACTGTAGCTGCTGATCAGAGAACTTCAGTAGCAGTATCTGTCAGGCCCATGTGTACACTATCTCTCCTTATGTTGCGAAATGAGGCTAGCCAGTGCATGTGACCTAATCATCCTCAATTTCTTCTTGACCACTCCTGGCTAGACATGGAGCCTTAACTGTTTGGTTGTAGATTAACTCTCTTACTTTTGCTAAATTTTAGCTTTGAAACCTCTTTTGTTTCTTTCCTCATTCTGTTTCTTTGGCCATGCTCCTCCTTTCCCCCAGAAAGAAAGAACTATGTTCTTTTGTCAGCTCCCCGTAGTGGGAGTCTCAGCTCTCCGGGCTTCAAGAAAGGCCGCACTTGCAGCGAGGTGATCCCAGTTGCAGACAAGCACTTCCAGTGCATACTTTGCATTGATGAGGGCCACATCCAGCAGAAGTGTTCCTTCTTCGAGCAGCTCTGCCTGAGATTTCGGAGCAGGGGAGGTTCCTTGACATTGGCCTCCCAGGCACTTGCCAGCTCTGCTTTCTTGGCCCAGCCAGCCCCCTTTGCCCTCAGCCAGCTGTGCTGCCAGCCCTGACTGGCCCTCTCAGCCCTGGGACTCTCAGCTGAGCCCCCTGCTGCAGGTCTGCAGCCGCATTGCGGGATTCTGTACTGTCTGAGCCCCTGCCGCACTCCTGGCTGTACTGCCAGTTGCTCGTACAGAGCTGCTTCCTGTAGCAATGTGCTACTGATAGAAGCCTAAGTTCTCCCTAAGAAGCACATTGCTACAGAAAGCAGATCTGTACAAACCACCGGAGCTCCCCATGCTGCCTGAGCTCTGTGCTGTGGGAATCCCTGCACTGACTGAGCCCCTCGCGCAGGACTTCTGGCTGCACCACCGGCGCTCCCCGCTCTGGTGGACCCCCTGCCACGGGACTCCCGGCTGCATCACAGGATTCCCTGCACTGCCTGAGCCCTCTGACGCTGTGCTCCTTGTGTTGCTTGAGACCCCCTTCCCCTGGGCTCTCTGGTCCAGGAATATCCACGGTCCCGCCAGACAGTGGATGTTGCCAAACCAGAGAGTCCCAGTTTAGGGAGGTACAACCTGTAGTAAATCTCTAGCCATTAGAAGGGCAGCACATCTCCTATAAGTCAGACAAAGCCCCCACATCCTCTCTCAATGTTCAGTGAAATCATTGTAAGTATAATATGTTTTTCATTTCATTAAGTATAGAAACAGGACACATTCAAAATCACTTATGCTGTCTATCTTAATTAAAACATTTTATGGAACTTGAGCGTAGAGTCTCCATAATCACAATTATAAATTTGCACATTAATTTAGCATTCTTATTTTTTCATTGTAGCCTTTGTCTCTGTAAACATTGCTGTTTATATGATTCTTTCTACAGGCTGGGTTTTTTTGGGAGGGGGGGAGGGATTGTTTGTTTTTTAAGCATAAAAAAAATTAAGCATTATTTAAGATATTGCTGTTTTTGCTCTTGTGACAAGAGGAAATGTTAAGATGATACTGTGCACTAAAAAAAAAACCCAAGCTTTTGGTTGAATCCTTGAAATTTAGCTATGTGTAATTGAATGTGTTTGGAAAATTAGAACAAGAACTTGGATTGTTGTGGTTGTACTTCTTGCATTACATTTTATTTTTATTTAGTTTTATGGCATCTTCCATCAGTATGACGAGTATCCAAATACTCTTTAAGATTAAATAATCTTGATTCCATAATCAGGAATATATAAAATGTATAGTAGGATAGTTTGAAAAGATCGCTAAACGTATAATATGAATATTTTATTTAATCAAATTATTATAGAGGAAGAAACTCACCCAGTGGATCTGAGTTCTTTGTCAAGCAAATTGTTACCTGGCTTCACTACACTGGGCTTTAAAGATGAACGAAGAAACAAAGGTAAATGTGTAAGAAGAAAATAGCTTAATTAGAAGACAAGTGCTTGATCGAATATAGAATGCAAATAATTCCAAGTTATTCCAGTCTCCAAATTGCTAGTACGTTCAACTGTTGTTAATAATTATAGTATTTGCATTTGCAACGGAATGCAAATGTTAATTATCAAAACAAAAAGCAGAGAATGGAAATAGCAGTATTACAATGCTATATTGATTTAATTATTGTTCAGTTGAATTTGTAGTAGAATTTTTTTTTTTCTAAAGCTAAGATTTGGATGCTTTCTTGGAGATAAAAAATTATTTCTTCTTAAAGTAGAGTCCCTATGGCTGCTGCACTGTAGCTGCTGATCAGAGAACTTCAGTAGCAGTATCTGTCAGGCCCATGTGTACACTATCTCTCCTTATGTTGCGAAATGAGGCTAGCCAGTGCATGTGACCTAATCATCCTCAATTTCTTCTTGACCACTCCTGGCTAGACATGGAGCCTTAACTGTTTGGTTGTAGATTAACTCTCTTACTTTTGCTAAATTTTAGCTTTGAAACCTCTTTTGTTTCTTTCCTCATTCTGTTTCTTTGGCCATGCTCCTCCTTTCCCCCAGAAAGAAAGAACTATGTTCTTTTGTCAGCTCCCCGTAGTGGGAGTCTCAGCTCTCCGGGCTTCAAGAAAGGCCGCACTTGCAGCGAGGTGATCCCAGTTGCAGACAAGCACTTCCAGTGCATACTTTGCATTGATGAGGGCCACATCCAGCAGAAGTGTTCCTTCTTCGAGCAGCTCTGCCTGAGATTCCACAAGAACAGAGAACTGCCAAAAATATCTTTGCGGAGGCAGCTTTCTGACCCAGTCCTCCTGTGGACATGAATCTTTCCCTCAACCTTCGCATTTGAACATAGGTCAAAGAAACAGTGTGGAGTGTCCTCTCCAAAGTCACCTCCATAAACTCAGGGATAGCTGAACACAGTCAACACCTCACTCTGTATCCTTGGCACTACCAGCACTAAGCCCGTGTTCCTCTGGCACCCAGGCCTCATGGCAGTTGTCAGTATCTGGTGTCAATGATAGGTCCACAGATCCTTTGGGCCTGTGCACTGAATCTTTGATATTGAGAGATAAGGTGAAATGCCCTAAGACCTTCCTGATATGTGAGTTGACATTGGTACCACCAGTGATAGTAGCCCATCTGGCACCAGAAAAACTGTTACGACAAAGTCTTCATCACATTCAACAACCAGATAGTTCCTTAAGGGTATAACAAACCTCTTCTCTCAACTTCCAATTCCTATGCCCTCCTGGGACCTAAACCTGGTACTGAAGGCTGACCAGTCCCATTTGAACCTATGGCAACCTATTTGCTGACATACTTCTTAATGATAGCCAGGGCTCGACAATGTATGTAATCTACTTGCCCGTGGCGAGTAGATTACATCCTGGAAGAGCCGAGTTCAGGCAATCTGCACATGCGCAGAACGCCGGACAGCACGGCTGGCGAGCCCTGATGATAGCAATTACCTCAGCTAGTCGAATAGGGGAGATAGCAGCTCTGTTGGTGCAATCACCTCACACAGTGTTGTTCCCAGACAGGATTACACTGAGGCTGCATCCAAGGTTCATTCTTAAAATAATCTTCTCTGTGAATCAGTCAGTCCACTTTCCCGTCTTCCTCCCCAGTCATCACCAAGGCAGTAGGGAGGCCATGCTGCATACCTTAGGGATCTCCTAACATCTAGCATTGTACTTGATAGGCCAGAGCCTTCAGGAAGTCCTCTAGACAGTTCCTCTATATGGCAGAAAGATCTAAGGGCTCTGCAGTATCAGCCCAAAGGCTCTCCAAGTGGGTCTCGAATTGCATTAGACCGTGCTACCAAATTCGTAACTTGATCCCTTCAGATTTGATACGTACATGTTCCAGAAGGTTGATCTCATCTGTTGCCTTCCTTGGGGATGTCCCTATCGGAGAGAGCTGCAGAACGGTGTCATGGCCATCAGTTCAGACCTTTGCAGAACACTGAACACTCCGAACTCTGACTCTTATGTCATCTTTGGATCCATAGCACTGTCATCTGTAACGACCCGACTCTACAGTCCCAGCCCTCTAGACGGAGTACTGCTCTGGAGTCACCTGCTGTGGATAAGCCATATGGACTCCACTGGAGGAAGTTACTCACCTTGTACAGTAATGACAATTCCTTCAGATGTGTATCCCTATCTGTGCGCCCCAATTCACCCTCTTCTTTTCTGTTTTGGAGTTTTCATTCATGACTCTGGGTAGAAAAGGAACTAAGAATGGTTAGCCCGCCCGTGCTGGATAGCCACATGGCAAGGCACAAGGAGACTAGGGATGCTGGATTGAGATTAATCAGCTAATCGAGTAGTCGATGGAATTTCAATAAGTCAATATGGGGGGCTCTTGCTACTCCTGCTGTGGCTCTGCAGTTTAAATGTAGTAGAAGCTGGGCACACAGGAGCTGGCGTCTTACTATATTTAAAAGGCAGAGCCACAGTGCCACTGCCAGTCCATTCCTCCACCTCCCCCCCTCTCCCCGCACCACAGAGCTGGAGCTGGGGAGAACTGACTTTTAAGCCAGCTCCCACCCATCACCAGCTCCTGCTCCCCTCCCCTCCTGCTGCCTCTGATGTAGAGGCAACAAGGTGGGGGGGGAATGCGAGTAGTCAGCTCGACTACCTGATAAGTGTCGACTATTTGACTACTCTTTTACATCCCTAATAGAGATTGCTACCAAAGTTCTCTGAGCAGCAGCGCAGGGACACAGACACCTACAGTGGAGCATCCATAAGGGAACACGTCTCAAAGAACCATTGTTATTGCACAGAGTGAGTAACTTCTTTCTGAAAATATTTTACTGGTCTGCCAAAGTGTTTGGCACCAGCAGGTCATAGGAGTCTGGATTCAAAAAGTGTAATTGTCACTTTTTAAAAACTGTGTGGGAGTAGGGGTAGTTCAGTGTTTAAGTTAATTTTGTAAATGCTATCAGTAGTTTTTAGTCTGCTATGATTTAGCAACTAATATGTCATATTTTGTTACCTTGCTGATGTCCATAATCAAAATTGTGGCTGGCAAATAAAAATACTGGTTTCAGTGTAAATCATATTGGAATTAAATTAGAAAAAGAAATCAAGGTGGTCAGCAAGATGTGGTATTAAAGTGGTATATCTTATGAACGTCTGGTCTTAAATTTCTTGCTTTCTAGTGGTATAATCATGATTTACCAGTGATTCATAAAAATCAGATTTTAAAATCATCACACTGATGTTCTTTTGGCATTAGTATAAGTCAGGACGTGATAAAAAAGTACTGGACCTGGGACCTGTGTAAGGTTCTGTACCTTTTTCAGGAAAAATTCAGAACTTAATGTACTGAAAATAACTTTTTATCTTTCTCCTTTTTTCATTCTAGTCACGTTTCTTACAAGTGCTAGTACGGCACTGTCAATGCAAAACAACTCTATCTTTCATGATCTGAAATCAGATGAAATGGAACTGCTGTATTCAGCATATGGTGATGAAACTGGGATACAGTGTGCCTTAAGGTAAGCATTTCTTTAGCAGCAAAATCTAAGCCTGTCTTATTTCCTCTGAGAAGAGATTTTTCTTTACATTAGCAGAGAGAATATTCCATACTGCTGTTTTACAACAAATTACAAAGATGCAATGTGGACTAATGGGACAAGCTTAGAAATAGGATCCCAGAGCTCCTGGATGTCTAATAACTGTTCTTAAACTGGCTAACTGTGCATTGCTGAACAAACTCTCTGCCTAATTTTCCCAGATTTAAAGTGATGATAATTTAAAATTCTAACAACAGTTTGTACTAAAGGTTGGTAAATCCTGTGGGGGAGAAGTATCTAACATCCAGAGATTATGGCAAAATTTCTGAGCCCATGGTATGAATAATGCCTGGTATAACTATTCTGTGATAGTACATGTGATCTTGGAAAGTAATGGAATAATTCATTAAATAAATATCACTGTTCTTTCTTTTCCTCTTACTAGAAAAATATTGGGAAAAATATAAAAAATACATTGTAGGTCAGTTTTGCATATTTATTTCATGAAGCCAAATGCAAAATCTAAATATTTCACATGCTACTGTCAGAGGTGTTCAAGATTCTGATGCTGTTATAGCAAACAACTAGATTGGTTTTTCTCTGATGAGCTATTATTTCAAATTTGTACTGTCCATGTGGAAAGCAGTGGCATAACCATTACTTCCTGGAGAGGGAAATTGCTACTTTCTATTAAATTGTCAATCCTCTTAAAAGCCCTATTCTCCTTAATACTTCAGTTAATGGGATTGGGTCAGAAGAACAATTAGCATTAAAGGTAAATAAATGTATAAATATAGCTACTGCAATTGCTTTTCTGAAAAAAAACCCAGAAAAGTAAAAAGTAATATTGAAGTGCAATGAGGAGAAATGTAAATTATTAGAGAAATGTAAATGCAATCATTTTGAGTTTCTGATTAAATATTCCTTATCTTCATTTCTTACAGTTTACAGGAATTTGTGAAAGATTCTGGAAATTACAGTAAAAAAATAGTGGATGATCTTCTGGATCAGATCACTGGTGGTGATCATTCCAAAACCATTTATCAGCTAAAGCAGGTGGGTCCCAGTTATACAGAAGTGAAGCTAATCAGTTTAATCAGCATAAAGATGGTCCTTGAAATACATAACGAGTTTTTTTTTCAGGAAAATGCAAGAGGAATGTGAGTTCTTAGTATGTGCAATGGGGTTGGCCAATAGAAGTAATAAAGTATAAGGCCTTTTACTGAAAAAGGAGTATGGCTTCAAATAACCTTCAGTTCTTGCATGGCCGTAGAAAAAAAACAGCGCATTGTTTTCAATGCTAATCTTGTCAGGTTTTTTCCCTAGGAAAATTCTGTGCTAAAAAATTAAAAATTCTGCGCATAATATTTTAAATTCTGCATATTTTATTTGTCAAAATAATACAATATAATCACACTGGTTTCAATTATTTTGGTAATGTATTTCAAAATGCCTTGTCAGCAAGTATGTAGATATCAAAAAAGTTTCCCCCAGGAGTAGCATGGGTGACGGGATGGATCATTTGATCTTTACTTGTGTTCATTCCTTCTGAAGCCCCTAGCATCTTCCACTATCTGAGCTAGATGAGACCTTTGGTCTGTCCCAGTATGGCCATACTTGTGTTCTTGGAGAACCTAAAAGAACGGGGATCTATATAGATAATTCTTTGAGGAAGAAAAGCAGTTAAACATCATAGTATCTGTTTTTCTCTCAGCTGACTTGACCATATAGATCCACATTCCCTGGCCAGCTTTCCTACTTCTGAGACCCAAGTTAACAATTTCTGAATTAGTGATTGTGATGAAAGTTTGGTTAGAACCATGTCACTGTTCATTGTCTCAGATCCCAAGTGAGAGGGGATTGTGACATGTGGCAATACTGAGCACTATTTGTTAGAAGTTTTCAGGATTGTACATTTTGAGTACATATTTCCCAAGACTGTGAATCCATGTGGGTAATTTTCTGAGAATATAATTATAATGTAAATAGAACTTTTTTTCTTAGGCTGTCACTTTAGGATATAGGAATCCTTCTGTATATTTGCATTATCTAGTCTAGAAAACTATTGTGAAAAATTAGTATATGTATACATCTTGATCTGCAGGTGGAAAAAAATGCACTTATTTTTTAAAAAAATAGCTTCTGAAACCATCTTTTTAAAGCAAAGACAAACAGAAATTGTTTTATTTATCTATAAAAAGTAACTAATATATAATCCTCTAAAAAGTCATTTAGTCTATTAACTTGTACATCAAGTTGAAATCTTGTTGCCAGTTAGAATTGCTAAACTCTTCTTCTTAATTGTCAGTTCACATTATAAACATACTTCAGCTATAGTTGTACCAGTGAATATAGCTTTAATACTACTAAATATATTTTTAAATGTAATATAATAGTCTCTTGTAGTTATTATGCTTTACAAGTTTAGTGCAATAGAAGTCAGATGCCGAGTAGTTATTGGATAAAATGTAAATCCATATAGAAGTGGTATATGGAGAGGAGAAATGGCATAAAAAGAATTCAGTCATAATTAAAACAAATGTCACATTGTAAAACATCCAGGTGCTATGACACTTCTGTGAAAAATGTTCGTTAAAATTACTGAATCCATATTTTGTGTAAATGGTTTAGAAATACTTTAATATCGTATACAACAATCTCTGACTGTGCTGAATACAATCTGTAACTTTGTTTTCAGAGGAGAAACATTCCAGTGAAAGCACCAGATGAAGTTAAAGTAAGTTAGACTGAGACATAGGTAAAAGCAGTTTAAGGGAAGAATGTATAGTAGAGTGCTTGAACAGTTATTTCCAACCTGTAATTTAGAAAAGTGTTTAGCATGAAATATTCCCTCATCTTCCAGAATTCATCCTTTATGATTTGTTCAGCTATATATTTACAGTGTAGCAATCTTGAAAGGTAAAATGTATGTGTGTGGGGGAGGGGGGGGGGGCCTTAACAGAGTAATGTTGAAGCCTTTCAATTTTAAAATATTGCACCTACAAAAGAAATCACAAAATGCTAGAATGTTATGTGGGAGCACAAGTCCTAACCCATATGTGAAATTTTTGACTATTTGATGGAATCCTCAAGAAGTAGAATGCTAAAGTGTAAAGTGTTAACAATCAGACTGTGATTTGGTGCTTTAGGTTTTGCCAGTTCTCATAAAGGAAGAACACAGATTGCGCAATACTTGCCCAGACTCCTCCAAACAGATTATGGTAAGATTACTTTTCACTTTTACAGACTTTATGTGGGAATAAGAGTTTGAGCCTCAGTATGCTATCTACTCTATGCTTCAGATGCTTTTTGTGTGTGCATTTGCATATTTATATCTAGAGGATTTAAATGTATTATTAGATAAAATCTAGAACCCTTTAATGGGAGAGAATTTTTATTGGTTTACTTCAGTCATATTGTACAGTTTTACCTTTACTTTTTAATTGATATTTGTTATCTGAAATTGCTATAAAAAGAATGCAATGAATGACATGAATGCTACATTAACTAAAGATAGGTATCTTTTTGACTGAAAGATGTTTGGTCTGCACACTTAAATCTTGATGGTCAGTCACTGATTACTTTTTGTTTAGTTATTCATACAGTGGATCATGATTTTTTTTAAATTTCTTTCAGAAATATTTAATATGGCTGGTGGATTAGAGAACATAGTTTTACCAGATAACTGCAATATGAACATAAGCTCCAAATCTTGAATTTGATACATGATCATCAGCTGAAAAGTGTGCTGAATTTTTAATACATTAACTTGCATTGTAGGTTTTCTAAACTACTTAGGAGGTTATATAAGTTATCTCCAAAAATTTGCACAAAACCCTGTAATATCTTTTAGCACTTTTTAATTGATTACAGTATGTAGGGGAGAATCAGATGTGGAATTAGCTCTCTATTTAATTCCAATACCTTCTGTGAGGTCCAGATCGATGCTGTGAAGCTGCTTTGGGCCCACTGCTCCCATTGGTCTGCAGTCAGTGGAAGATCTGCCCAGAGAGTAGCTTTAAAATTAAACGTTGGGACACTGTACTTAACCTGTTCTGAAAATGTGGGTTGTACACGGACTGCAGTAAAGTGAGAATTGAATTGTTCTAGCTTTTAAAAATATAGAACAGTTAAAACAAATATTCTATCATGCTTAATAGAACAGGAATTTGCAGTAATGTATTTTAGTTTCTAATGGGTCCATGTAATTATTTATGTTTCCAAACACATGCCTTGGAGTATGTCTTGCCCTTTTTTAAAAAATCTTCACCTGCATCCACACTGCAGTCACGTTCTTTCAAAATTAAATTGAAAGAATGCAGGGTTTTTTTTGATGTTGGTAAACCTCAAATTATGAAGAACTCCTTTTTCGAAAGAGCTCTTTCGAAAAAAAGGTATGTGTGGACAAGGAACAGGGACGTTTTTCAAAAGAAGAGGCATTCGAAAAAAGGACAAGTGCGCTGGTGGCCATTCTCTGAATAGCAATCAGGGCTTTCTTTCAAGAGAGCATCCATGCAGTCTGGACGCTCTCTTTTGAAAAAGCAGATTGCTTTTTTGATCTGGTTTTTAGGTGTGGATGCTCTCTTTCAAAAGAAGCTTTTTTGAAAGAGATCTTTCATAAAAGCTTCTTTCGAAAGAAGTTTGCAGTCTAGACATACCCTAGGTATATTTTCCTTTTTAAAAAATCAGCATTTGCAAATCAACAATCATGACCAGCCACCGGATGCATGCTAGAACTGTTTGAGCTATCATACTTAAAAAATAGCAGTGGGGCTACAGCAGCAGCCCAGCCACTTGGGTATATATTCAAATGGCTAGTTCAAGCTGCTGCCCACAGCCACACTGATATTTTTAGCATGCTAGCTTGAACAGAGTTATTAAATGCCTCTGCCCCATGCTGGGAAGCACATTCCTAACTGCAGTGTAGACACACACATCGTGACAGCAAATAATATTGCTGCATTAGTTGGCAGTCAGCATTGAAGGTCATTGCTAAGGATTTCATTTGAGGGTAGTTGAAATGATGCATTCTAAAATTGACTATAGAATTATTCTGTGAACAGGTCTGCATCATTCAAGATAATACATACCAGTGCTACCTGTTTGCTAGATTTACAAAATGAATGTTGAAATGGGTGTCTTGAAACACTGTATGCCATGATTCCCACGGTAGGTGAAATGTGCACCCTCAGAGCTTTTTGGATAGGGTTCATTGGAGCTGCATTCCTTTTAAGAACATAAGAAGGGCCATACTGGGTCAGATCAAAGGTCCATCTAGCCCAGTATCGAGTCTTTCGACAGTGGCCAATGCCAGGTGCCCCAGAGAGAATGAACAGAACAGGTAATCATCAAGTGATTCCACCCCTATTGCCCATTCCCAGCTTTTCTTTCATGTCCCTTCCAAGGATGCAGAAGGGACTCTCATTGCTGATCCAGTATATGCAATGCCATAAAGTTAAGAATATGATTTGCTTACAAGCCCAAGTTCTTAGCAAAAGTGGTTTCTCAATCAGTCCATCTGCCTACTTGTATTCTTCTTTAGGGTTCATTTATTATCAGGGGAGCCTGGTCAAGGAGATTTTAATTACTATTCAGACTGAACTATGCCATTCAGTAGGACTCTGAAGTTGTTCATAGCACCCAGGAATGATGCAAGGTGGCAGTCAGTTTCCACTCAGAGATTGTCCAATTCGATCCAGACTTCGTGTATTCTTTCTTGCTGTGAACTAAAAGGGATTCCAATTAGGGATATACATGACTAGTCCACTAGTGATGTGAGTAGTTGCGCTTTCCCCCTTCTCTTCCCCCGGTCTATCAGAGAGGCAGCAAGTGGGGAGCAGGTGCTGGTGGGAGCTGGCTTAAAAGCCGGTTCAACCTAGCATCGTCTTAGCGAGGGGCAGGGAAGGTAGAGGCAAAGCGGGAAATGGTGCAAGAAGGGACTGAAGTAGTCTCCGCTTGTGCCCTTTCTGCGATTCTGCTTTTGAAATGTACAAGAGTCCTAGCCAGGCTCTTGCACATTTCAAAAGCAGAAGCCCTGCGCTCTCTGCGGGGCTTCCTTTTGAAATGTGCAAGAACCCGGCTGGGGCTCTTGTACGTTTCAAAGGCTCAGGTGCCGCAGAGAGCACAGGGCCAGTCCCCTGTTGGCCCTATGCTCCCTGCGGGGCTTCTGTTTTTGAACTGTAGCAGGAGCCCAGCAGAGCTTTTACTACAGTTCAAAAGCTGAGGCACCCTTATAGGCTAATCGAATAGTCAATGGAAATGCCATTGACTATTCGATTAGTTAATTAATCTAAATTTCACATCCCTAATTGCAATGCTGTTGCGTCTAAATTGGCTTTAGCTATGTGTCACAGAAACATACGTCATTGTAAGATACAAAACTGCTACCTTGAAGAGTTCTGGTTGTGCTTTACACAACATTAGTACCTTCATTTAGCTTCTAGATCAGGGGCTCTATGTTCATCACTCTAAGCGAGGATCCAGGCATGTGTTGCTTAATGAAGAAAAAACTAATCACATTCAGTAGTGCAGGCCTGGGTTGCATCTGGCCCGCCAAGACACTGGATCCGGCCTGCAGAGGCAGCAGGGAGCCCCAGGCAGGCTCCCAGCTTGCCCTGCGCACTGTGCAGAAACACAGCTACAAGGCTCCATTTCTGTTTTAAAACTGGAAGGGGGGGGCTTTAGGAGCCAGCCCTCCCCCAGGACATACCTATTGGCTGGTTTCTGGCAGTAGCCAGCAATGGGAGCTGCTTGTTAGAATAACAGGCAGCTAAAAAGAATCACACCCCCTTTCCTGGGCTCGGTTATTCATGAAGCACATGGCCAGGCAAGCAGGCTGGTTGGCTGGGAAACATTTTAAGCTCTGCATGCAGGCAGGCTAGGTAGGCAGCTGGCAAGTAAGTCTCTTAGCCACAGCCTGCTTCTGGTGCTCCAGCCCTTTCCTGCCACAACTCTCACCCTCCACCATACCCAAACCCTCTCTCCCCCTCTTACACCTCTACCCACAACCAGATCTGGCACCCCAGTCTCCCCCAGATCACAATACTCTCCTACCCTACGTCACATTCCAGCCCCCTGCCCTAGGTCACAACCGCCTGCTTCATCCCATCTCCCTCCCAGACTCCAGTCTCCCTCCTGCACCCCAGTCCCTTACCCCAAGCTGCCCTCTGCACCCAACCTCACCCCAGACCACGCACCTCCTCCATTAATATCATGGAAGAGTGCAGCTCTCAACCACTTTCCAAAATCTTGGCGTGGCTCCGTCAAAAAATTATTGCCCACCCCTGCAAGAGTAATTTCTGTTGTTGGGGATGACTAATTGCCTGGAAACCACATTCCCTGCCCTTCTTTTCCCATTATTTTAGAATGTTGTAATAGATTATTTGTTTAATGAAAGGGACAAGATGATGGTTGAGGCTGCACCCTGGGGATATCCTCAAGTGAAGGAGGCAGGGCAACACAAAGGCAATGCGGCCAGACTGAGCTGACAGTCTGGAAAGTGCCACGCTCATGCACTGTTGCACACTTCTAGAGTGAGAATCCATGCAGCCTGTTACTTTGATGAACCACACTTCCTGTGATAATTAGTCATTATTGTCATCTACAGTTCATTTGAGTCTTTTTTGTTTCCTCTTTACTGTATTTTTAATCAGGTTGGAGAATCCATTGGCGACAATAACTCTTCTGTTTTGGATTTTTTGTCTGTGAAACCATATTCAGACGTGTCTCTTGATATTTCCATGTTAAGTTCACTGGGTAAGTGATCTAATACTGTTGTCAATTAATCATTGTGCAGTGGTTGAGTTAATCATTTACCTGGGGCAGCATGGTCTTAGTTCAGCACAGGAGAGATTGTTCCAGCCTTGATCTTTCTTTAACTCCAGGAATAAATCTAAAGGATTTGCATGTTAAAAAAAAAAATCCTTCAGTCTCTGGTAGAGAAGTTGCAAAGGATATGGGGATGTAGTTCCTTATCATGGTTCACATCTATTCTTTTTATAATGGCACAGAAATATAAAAATGAATGAGGTACATTACTGTTGACAACAACTGAAATATTTTGAAAGAATGACTGTAGAATCTCTTCTAATATATCATTGTCACTGAAACAAGTTCTGCTTATTGTTTTAAAGTTCTGTTACTTAAATATGTGAGAAGATTTCCTGTATTTCATAATTAAAAATGAGAAAAAGCTGCAGAAGGCCAGAAAAATAGATTGAATGCTTTCCTATAGACTTTTGCCATTTTTTCAATATAAGATGTAGCTTTTGGGAAAGCAATATCAAGTTCCAATTATGACTATTCTGTAGATCTAAATGTTTTTCTAGCAGTTTAACAACATACAGTTGTATGAGAATAGGAGTGTATTCCTTGCATAATTTTAACAAGTCAAGATTTTTTTTCCTGTTAAAATCTGTGGATGTTTATCTTGCTATCAGTTGCAGTATTCCTAGAGTATTTACCTACTGTACAGGGATTTTGGCATGTCACATTTCTCATTTATAAGGAAAGTTGTGTCAGTGGTATAAGTGCACAATTTTACTAGAAATTAGTTCATTTTTTCCTATTTAATATGTAACAGGAATCTGTTTTTCAAACCCTCAGATAAAAATAGAATACCCATTGCCATCTACATTCAAGGGATTCAAAGTGTGTGGCAAGTTTGTTTAGTGTAAAATGAGTTTAATTGGGAAATGATTCTTTTGTTAAAAATTATTTTTTTTCTGACCATTTATTTGGGAATATGCTTAAACTTTACCTATTGTTCGTTTTTTGTTATTTGGTGTTCTAGGGAAAGTGAAAAAGGAACTTGATCATGATGATAATCATTTACATTTGGATGAAACAACTAAACTATTGCAGGACCTTCATGAGGCTCAGACTGACAGGGTGGGATCCAGGCCTTCATCTAACCTCAGCTCCCTCTCCAACACCTCTGAAAGAGATCAGCATCATCTAGGTAACATTAACTGTACTTCAGCCGTTGTAAAATCACTATTCTAATTTAAATTCCTGAATTTTTAGAACAAAAGAATCACTTAAAGGGATATATGTTCTAATTACGTAATTCCTGTTTAAAGATCCTGTTGATAAAACACAGTGTGCAGTATGCAGTAACTGTTTTTAATCCTAAAATATATACGTATCTGAATATTAAAAGACTTATTAGCCTATAGACTCCTGAGGATTAAAAACAGTTTATTCTACTTACTCAGGTTTCTGGTTAAGCATGAATGGATAAACCTGTAAATCAAACTGATGTTTCAATAACATTTGCAGTATACACCTCAGTTTTATATCTTGAAAATGTTATAGCATAGATTATCTTTACATCGCTAACAGACTATGCTGAAATTCAGCAGACTATTTTATAAGAATTGAGAAAATTAATAACCCAAATAATACTTTTATTATATGGACTTGCGTTATTTACAACCACAGCAGTTTGTCTCACATACAGACACTTAACTTTTTATAATAGTATGGATAATATTAAAATATATATGATGTTTTCAATAGAATACATATAAGAAATTAACATTTTAGAATTGAAATGGAAGGGAATTATTATTAATGAATAAGATACAGTGCCCAAATCACCATCAGACAGAGCATTTTGTATGTAAAACAGAGAATCTGATTGTATGTAATGAAGTGAAATAATCAGACATAATTAAATATACATCAGTTTGCAAAATCCACTAAGATCAAAAACAAAACAAAAACCAGACTCGATGAGGACTAATATAATTCTATAAAACTAGTGGGCACTAACTATTTTAATAACTAAACAAACAAACACTTGATATTTACTTCCTCAATTAAGCAAGGATAATCTTAAATCATATCATAAATACTCCAAACATCATTTCTTATTGCCTCTCCTAGCAACAAAACAAGCATAAGCCTCTTATAACCTTCTCATTGTTAGTTTTAAAGATGAATGGGGCAAAACAGAGCCATACGCTGATACATTTTAATAAATTTCTGCAGTTTTATTTAAAATATAAGGGACCTTCTGTGAATAATTTTAATTACGTCATTTTAGCAATTTAAAGTAATAGAACCGGGGCAAATTTTTCAAAAGCACCTAAGTTTTGATTTCACAAGTTAAGGAGCCTGTAGTTCTACTGACTTTTGTTATGGCTCATGCTTTTAAGAGACTAAATCACTTTTTAAACTAGAATTTATCACTTACTCTAAGCCATGAGGGAAGAATGGAAAAAACATGTTAAATACCAGTGCTGTTTTATGTCTTTAAAGCTTGTCTTCTGGATATCTCTCTTATTAATTTTTCTTTCCTACTACAGGAAGTCCTTCGCATCTGAGTGTTGGAGAACAACAGGACATGGTACATGACCCCTATGAATTTCTTCAATCTCCTGAACCTGCAAATGCCACCAGTAATTAATGTGTAAAATATTTATTTTTTTTCTTTTAATTGTGTAACATTTTTATAAAGTTTTTGTCAAATGGCAGAAACCTCAATTTTATCCTCTTTTCTGTGAGGATAGCTGTATAATACTACCATGCACATTTGTAAAATTTGTCTAGCTAGTGTATCATGTTGTCAACACCACTGCAAATACTGCCTTCATTTTTTTAAAATAGTGGTGAATAAAAATGTCAATAGGAAAAACACAAATTGTGTATTATAGAACCATATTAGATACATAGGATGTGTGCTGTTCTTAATGCATAGAACATCCTTAAGGAGGAATATTTATCTTTTAGCAATGATACAACTTCCAGAATTGTGATCATTTTCATGTTCCCACTCCCCTTCCATTTTGTTCTGTAGAGTGGGACTGTGTTTTCTACATGTTAAAGTATTGTTTCTTAACACTTCAAAAACACTTAATTTGGAAACAAGAAAGACTCTGTAGCTGTCATATCAAATAGTTTACTATACAAGTTCAGCCCTTCAGTTAAATGGAGAAAGAAGTATTGTGGTCCCTTTTACTGATGAACAGTAAGGGGGCCAAATACCTAATTTTTTAAAATGCAATATGTATATTTACTTAAAATATACTGGACAAAAGGGTATGCTTTTATGTAATTAAGTTTTTGTAATTCAGCGCTGACATGACGGCTTTTTTAACAGTGATATTATGTGTAAACTAGATGAATGTTATGCATTTACTATATTTTGTAAATATTAACATAATAAAATCATATAAAAATCTTTTTAAAGTTTGCTTATGTCTTGCTGTTGCCAAATTGTTAGTTGCTTGCTGTTTCTTGCTAAACTGAATACATCCTAAGGTGTTCTTATTTTATAGTATTGCTATATATGGTAAAATAAGACCAACAACTTAGGATGTGTTAGATTTTAAAAGGCACATGATCTTACATGATTGGGATGGGCAATAAAATGGTGGCGGTTCTCCAGGGTTAGCCCTGGTGGGCATTGTTCCCTCTAAGATTTTCCTTCCATGAGTGGAGTGAGTTTCGTCTTGTGCACCAATATTGAGGTCATGTGCATTTGTTCGGATGTGTGAGACCATGGAACCCAAATTAACAAATATAACATTTAAAGTGTTATAAAAAAAGAATACTAAAACAAAGGATAATTAATATGAAATCAAATAAAAAGAAAATTAATACTACAAAAGTTTAAGTAGCCAACTTCCTCTGTTTATAACCCTCTCCCAAACCCTCCCCCAGCTGGACTAGAGGATATCTTAGGCTCCCTTCCAGTCCTGTGATCACTGTCAGAATTCAGAACACCAAAAGGAGGATGTTGGAGGGTTTGCTAGCAATATCAAGAGTATGAGATCTGACAGACCAGTTTGAACTACAGCATCTCAACTTTTATTAGGATACTAAGGCATGACCACAGTGCATCAATGCAGGAAGCAGGAATGCTGAAAGAGTGAAAGATGTATCTAAGCCCCCTTTGTGCCGTCTGTATATTCTACCTTTCCAGAAGCAAGTCCAGCTGCTGTTGTATGTTAGATTAGCCTCAGGGCTGCTCTAAGTCTGCACTGCCCGCAGTTCCATAGAAGTCATAGGAAGCTGAAAATAAGCACAGTGCAGCACTGCTCTAGTTTTCTTCCAGGGAATGCTGAAAGAGTGAAAGATGTATCTAAGCCCCCTTTGTGCCGTCTGTATATTCTACCTTTCCAGAAGCAAGTCCAGCTGCTGTTGTATGTTAGATTAGCCTCAGGGCTGCTCTAAGTCTGCACTGCCCGCAGTTCCATAGAAGTCATAGGAAGCTGAAAATAAGCACAGTGCAGCACTGCTCTAGTTTTCTTCCAGAATGCCCCTATGCCATTAGCTTTAGAGGGGGGCACCAAACACCCATTTAATTGGCTTCAAGCAAGCTAGGGCATCCCCTATCTACACTGGGGGTAAGACCCAAGTAGGGAAGTGAGATCACTGCCTTTACGGTACCTTTGTGCCACTGGAGTGCAAAATGGTTCTATGGCATTCAATGGTGTGATGTGTGACTCCTGGCTAACATATAAGAGGATGCCCTGTGTCTCCAGGGCCACCTCCATGCCATTGTATCTGGAGCTGCTGGGTGTCTGCTTGTGCCCAGGCTTCTCCATCACTTGGCTGCACTGCATAATGCTGCACAAATAGCATGGACACCCTTTGGCACAGCCAGGCGGCATCCAGGGCAAGGCGAGCCTTTCCTCCCTCTGCAGTGGTGCTTGGGAGCCTGTGGCACGCTGCTGCAGGAGACATCAAAAGAGAGATGCAGCACCCTACAAATGTAAAATCCTGAAAGCACCAGCTATATAAGAAGAAGAAGAAAATTAAACATGTAGAAATAGCCATTTTCAATAAACACTCCCCAAAGCCACATCCATCTGTAGGCTATTTCATGTCAGGTCTGAAACTAAACTCTGTATAGTTTTACAAGAAGCAGTCCCATTCCAGGCACATCCCATTTTCCTGCCACATGCAAACCCTTACCTTTCTTTAAGTTAGGATAAGAGGAAGTAGTATACTGAATTTGGTGGCCCTAGATCTCATAGTTTAGGAGTTCTTGAATAGACGGACACAGAGACAACCTCTCTCAAAAATATAGTAGATATGGGAAAGTCAAGGTTGAATCTGCAACGTAGAAATATCATTTTTGTTTTAAAAAGACTTCACAGATATTGCAATACATTCCAAATATGCAATATGCTGAAGTCAACTTAAACAAAACAATTAAATAAAGATGGGCTATAGATGTGGTTGTTATATCTGGATATATTTAAGATATGATTCCAGTATGACTCATGGTTGGGCCTATTAAGTGAACTTGCAGTTTAAATTAAGATGAACTAATGTACACCATGTAATAGCATTTTAATATTCATTTTGTAACTCAAGCTAGTCAGTAATACAGACATATAAAAATTAATAATTTCTCCACCATCTAACCTGCTTTTCAGAGACTGAAATTGTTCTCTGAAGTAGCTTCATTTACCGTATATACTCGAGTATAAGCCGAGTTTTTCAGCACAGTTTTTGTGCTGAATAATGCCCCCCCTCGGCTTATACTCGAGTCAGCGTCTCGAGAACAGCGTCTCGGGCGGGCTCAGCGCGTCTCTGCCGCTGGGCGGGGCTAGCCGGGGCTAGCCCCCGGAGGGGGG